CCCCAAAACCCCAAAACCCCAAAACCCCAAAACCCCAGGATAGATATTTCAAATTGAAGCAATTTATTCAATTCATTACATATTCATTTGGCAGAATAATGCTGTTGATCTTTTGAGCCAAAAAGAAGGATCAGTGCCTTCACTGATTTTCAAAGGTACATACATCACAAAGCACTCGCCATCAAGATTGATTGCCTCTCTGAGGGAGATTTTGAACAAGGGAGTTTCGAAGTACTTATCATTCTTATATTTCTTCGCATACTCATCCTTAGTTATGACCTTAATGCTAAAAGCAGGCATGATATAGTTCAGGATTCTAGACTTAGCTTCAATGATGCACTCATCATCATAATCCCATTGAGCACATTCAATATAGAGTCCATGGATATAGAGCTCTTTTTGTTTGTCATTTCCTTCGCCGTCTTCATCAGAATCGTCTCTCTCCTCTTCGATTTTGGAGAGTTTGGATGACTGGTTCTTGGAAAGGATAGAGCTTGAGCTGAGATCTGAGGCTGAGTCCTCCTCATCCATCTGCCTCATTGGCTTAGCGATTTCTTTCTCTTTCTCATTATTTATCTTCGGCTTAGGAGGATCAGGAATATTGGCATTCAGCTCCAACGGAGTAAACTCAAGAGCCAGAGTGGAGAAATAAATGTTATCCTTCCTCGCTTTTTGCTGCAGCAATGTTGTGATGAAGCTCTTCTGGTCAAACAACCCTGGCAGCCAGAAGTTTTGTGGATGCCCCCAATCGATCCATCCTTTGTAAAACGAGATCCTGTCTTGGAGGTTAGATAAGAAGGTTGAGAGTGAGTCAAAAGTGGGGTATCAGTACTTTAGCCAACTTGATGGTACTTTCCCGTAGGTAATATCGCTGTAGATTGAATCGAGGATATCGTTAATATGAGCTATCCCCTCTAAAGCCTTAAGAGTATTTTTGAGAGATACATAGATGACCTGCAGAAGCAGGTTGTATCTTTGAGCCTCCTTTAATAGCAAAGTGTTAAGACATTCCTGATATGAAATAGGAAACTTCTTTCTACACTGTTCTTCATCAAGAAGTTCAGGCAATTCTGTGATAATCTTATGCATTTTGTCTTTAATTGCAGTGTATTTAGAGACAATGATATCATCGTTTTCTTCTTCCTTGTTGTCCTTGATGAGGTTCTTGCTGGCGAATTCAAGTTCATAGACTTTTTCAAGTAAAGTCTTTGCTTCGGTCTGAGATTTTATAATCGTCGCGTTTTCGTCAAGTCCAAAAATATCAGGCCGATCAACATCAGGGTACTTCCTTAAGTAGCTCTTATAGTGAGTCAGGGAGTACTGATCTGGGATTGGGTAATAAGTATTATTCGAGATCTTTTTAAAGTCTTTTTCAATCACATGTGGGCCAATGAAGCTGCCTAATAGAGCCATGAAGGCATCCTCATCCTGATCGAAAGTGATTCTCCCACCGTAGTTTAGCTTTCCTATGAGATATTGAGCTAGGCCGAAAGGAATCTCATCGTAAGAGCTTATGCAAGTCTGGAGCTGAGACAATGAGATGAAGAAATCAGTATCAGCAAATTCATAAGGTCTGTTCCACCCTATAGGTCCAAATTTCTTCCTTTCGATTGCTGTGGCATGGAAAACTCAGAGTGAGAACAGTAGCTTTTTATATGAGTCTTGATTTTTCTTGCACACTTCAAGAACATTGTCAGGCACTGAATTTAGCAGTTTGATTGCATTCTGCTTGATTCCTTTAGCAGGCTGAAGCGTAATCTACAGTTATGAGGAAGAAATTACCTTCTGACAATTCTGGAGAAAAGAGACTGGGAAATAATTAACTGGAATTGAAGACATCCAGAGCCTAAAATTCTGATGAACCTTGTCCTTATCCAGCTGTTGGATTAATTTCTCTAATAGTAAGAGCCAATCTGTCACTAAGTGGAGATTTTCAAGTAAAATCCAATCACCATTCTTCGTTCCGTCTAGTATTAAGTCTTTGACCTTATCATCAATTGTGTTGCCAAGGGGAAGATATCTTATCCTAACATTTATATTTAGCTTGGCCTTGATAATTTGTAGCTCATTCAAAGTGTTCACATTTGAACTTAAAATGAACAAAATAGGTTTTGTTCACTCAGTTTCATAATAAAATTTTAGTAAATTATGCTCTGGAGGAGAGTTAAAGCGTGGATCTAGTACATTTCCTATAATTTACACTACCAATAAGAGCCTACCACAAAATCTCATAATTTCAGGAACAACCTTATCAGGTCTGAGTCATCTGACAACACAGAGCCTCAAGAGGTATTTGAAAACTTGTTGCTTTTTGACAACCTGTTCCTTCTGAAATCGAATACTTCCATATCTACCAATTTAAACCCAAAATTTTTGAAAAATCTTACTTAAACTCAGTATAATCATCAAGCCCTTGAAGTAGTGAATCTGGTTTGAAATCCTTTGTATCTTTCCTCTTAATTCTCTTATCATCCGCTGCTGACATATTGAGCTCTAAAATATAGTCTAGTGACTAACCTTCTTCCTGGTCATCACTGTCATCTTCTTCTGCAAAGATCTTGTCATCTCCAGAGTCATCATCAGCTATGAATAACTTAGTCAGAATTACCATTGAAAATGGAATCTAGGTCTTGTTCTTCCTTGATTTCTTTGACCTCTTCTTCTTTCTCTTGTTGTTGTATTCGAATTTCTTCATCCCTTTTCAGTTGCTCCTATAAAGGATGGTAGGTAAAGTTGAAGTTACTGCTTCTTTTATTCCACCACTTCTACATCCATGCTAATGTAAGGGCCAGGGAGGTCAACGTTTCCTCCACCGCACTTCTCGTAGAAGTTAACCCATGACTCAGGCTCATTAATCATATGGTCGATGATATGCGGGTTATCGAATGGATGGATCTTAGAGAGGCTCAATAGACTAGCGAACATCTCCTCTGTCACAAAGGGACAGAGGATGGACACTTTGTCATACCTCTCCTTATCAGTTTTGTTTGACTCTTCTGATTCACCGTTTTCTATAAAATATAATGACTGAGATACCTTGGGATAACTCTTGCTCTTCACTTTCTTTACTACTGATAGAATCTTCATTGAGCGTGAGTTTCATTTCGTTTTTCCTCATTTGAATTTTATTTCAAAATTATTACAAGGAATCGGGGTTTTGGGGTTTTGGGGTTTTGGGG